AACTGGAAAGTAATCTATCAGGCAGCCTTTTTTTTTTTTTTTTTTTTAAAGGCACTTTCTAAGTGGCAACCGAGTTCCTTATAACGCCCGCGGATTCCCCGCCCTCTCCCGCTACGCCGGGCTGCCAAACCGAACCTTTCTTCCCTCCGCCCATCCTCCCTTTCGGGACAGAGAAGAAGAAGAAGAAGAAGAAGAAGGAAAAAAAAGGGGGGGAACCTAAACAGAGAAGACGGGGGGGGTGTTTGTGGGATTTGAAAACAGCGAGGTGGGGGCCGAGAGCGGAGGAAAGGCAAAGAGGAAAGAGGGAGGTTTGGAGCGAAGGCGGAGGAGAGATGGAGATCCCGCCGCCGAAGAGAGCTAACCTGCAGCAATAAGCTTGGCGGTGTGGTGGCTGGCTGGGCAGAACCATTCCGATGAGCCGGGAGACGATCGCCGGTCGCCAATCGCTTCGGCTGGGGAAAAGCACCGTCCAGCAGCACCCCAGCAGCCGCCCAGAGGCGTCTGGAAGCCGGGAGTCCGCCCGGGCCGGAGGAACGCCGGAGGGCTCCAGACCGGGAGCAAAAAAACGGCACGGGAGCTCGACTCGCTCGCCCGGTTTGGCCGCCGCCGCCGCCGCCGCCCCCTCGGCCTCTGCCTGATCCCTGCCGCCCCGTCGTCGCTGCCGCCGTTGCCGCCGCTTGTCTGGTGGCCGGGAGAGGCTGCTGAAAGGAAAGCCCCGAGTGGCCGCCCCGCTCGCCGGCGTCGCCCTCGAGCTGCGTCCGAGGCTTGGCCCGCAGATCGCCGGGCGCCTATCCGCGCAGTCGCCGCCAAGGTGGGCAAAGGAAGGGTTGCGGTCTGCTCTCGGATGCCGACAGCTGGGTGAGGAGGAGGAGGAGGAGGAGGAGGAGGAGGCCCCCGTGGCCGGCAGGTAGCGGAGGAGGAGGAAGAGGAGGAGGAGGAGCAGGAAGAAGAAGAGGAAGGCTGGGGGGGGGCTCGCTCCCTGGCTGCTGACACCGCTACCTGTTGGAGAAGGGGCCGGACTGGCGTCCAAGTGTCCTCAGGAGCCCCCCGTCTTCCTTCCTTCCTTCCTTCCTTCCTTGCCGTCCCCTCCCGACAGGGGCACTTGTCGCGCCTTCTCCTCTCCCAAACTCTCTTCTTCCGGCTCTTCCCGATTATCGCCGCGGCAATTAATTGACACCCACCCACCCAGCCAGCCAGCCAGCCACCATCCCCTCCCGCTTTCCCTTTTCCTGAGCTGGGATGACTCTGTCGGGCAACCTGAGCGCCAGCGACATGTCCGGCCAGACGGTGCTGACGGCGGAAGATGTGGACATCGACGTGGTGGGCGAGGGGGACGACTGCATGGAGGAGCGGGACAGCGGCGGCGGCGGCGGCGGCGGCAGCGACCTGGAGGCCGGCGGCAGCCCCGGCGGTGCTTTGGGTAGGCTGCCCGCCACGCTGGCCTTGGACGAGGCGGCCGAGCTGCTGATGGCCAAAGAGTCGGCGGAGATGAGCTCGGGCAGCAGCAGCAACGGCGGCGGCGGCGGCGGGAGCCCCGTCGAGGAGAAGGGAGGCGAGGAGGGCTCGGCGCCGTCCGCGGCGGCGGCGGTGGCGAGCGCTGCGGCTGCTGCCTCCAGCGGCGGCAAGCCCAAGAGCAGCCTGGTGAAGCCGCCCTACTCCTACATCGCGCTGATCACCATGGCCATCCTGCAGAGCCCGCAGAAGAAGCTGACGCTGAGCGGCATCTGCGAGTTCATCAGCAACCGCTTCCCTTACTACCGGGAGAAGTTCCCGGCCTGGCAGAACTCCATCCGCCACAACCTCTCGCTCAACGACTGCTTCGTCAAGATCCCCCGCGAGCCGGGCAACCCGGGCAAGGGCAACTACTGGACGCTGGACCCGCAGTCCGAGGACATGTTCGACAACGGCTCCTTCCTGCGCCGCCGCAAGCGCTTCAAGCGGCACCAGCAGGAGCAGCTCCGCGAGCAGACGGCGCTCATGATGCACAGCTTCGGCGCCTACAGCCTGGCCGCCGCCGCCGCCGCGGCCGCCGCCTCTTCCTCGGGGCCCTACGGCCGCGCCTACGGCCTGCCCCACGGCGCCTACCCGCACCCGGCCGCCCTGCAGTACCCCTACA